TTATTATCCCCATTTTCATCATCATCATATTCAATTACAATCAATCAGGATAAAAATTATGGTAACTCCACGTTTCCATTATTGTTAGAGACGTAACTCAGATGCGAGAGATTACTGAATATATCATGCTACGAGCGTTAATCATTTTAATTGGTGAGCCTGTACCTAATGAGTCGCCGAGAGAAAAGCTAAAGATGTTTTTTTTTCTTTCCTTCATTCAGTCTTTTTTTTCTCATTCTTGTACTTTCTTTTCTTTCTGTTCTTTGTCTCCATCTTCTTTTTTTTCGGCTTCGCTTTCGCACTATTTTTTTTTCTTTCGTCCTTCTTCTTCCTCTTTTTCATCATTTTTTTTTCTTCTGCACCTCCTCCTTGTTTCTTCTTTTCCCTCCTCTTCCTTCTCCTTAACACCGCCCCCTCTGTTTGCTTTATTTCCTCTCCTTCTTTGTCTTATTTATCGTTCTATCTCTTTTACCTCATCTCCTTCTATTCCCCCTTTTTTAATCTTTCGTTTCCATCTTTTCTCCTCTTTTCTTCCTTTTCCCCACTCCTTCTCCTTTACCCTTCCTCCCTTCTCTTCTTTCCTCTTTTGCCTTCCTTTTGCCCTCTACACTTCCTTCTTTTCTCTTCCCCTTTCTTCCTTCCTTCCCCCCTCATTTACCTTAACCCTCCCTCTTTATTCTTCCTTCTTTGCCTTCTTCTCCTTCTCCTTCTCCTCCTTCTCCTTCACTTTCCCTCGTCCTTCTCCTTCTCCCTTCTTTCCCTTTCCTCCAAGCTCCCTCCTTCTCACACGCATCCTCCCTCTTCCTTCTTCCCTCTTTCGTCCCCCATTTCCTTCTCCCTCCTTCTCCTTCTCCTACGCATCCTCCCTCTTTCTTCCCCCATTTCCTTCTCCCTCCTTCTCCTTCTCCTACGCATCCTCCCTCTTTCTTCCCCCATTTCCTTCCACCTCCTTCTCCTTCTCATCCTCCCTCTTTCTTCTCCCATTTACTTCTCCCTCCTTCTCCTTCTCCTTCTCATTCTCCCTCTTTCTTCCCCCATTTCCTGCTCCCTCCTTCTCCTTCTCCTACGCATCCTCCCTCTTCCTTCTTCCCTCTTTCTTCCCCCATTTCCTTCCACCTCCTTCTACTTCTCCTATTCCTTCGCCTCGTCCTCTTCACACTCCTTCGTGTTGAAATACCTCCCTAACAGGCGATCCAGAAGTATGGACTCTAAGGGGAGCTGTGACATACTACCCTTATGACAGTCTTTAGTGCTTTTGAAATGTCTGTTGGCTAAGGGTTTGCAACTCATGCAATCAGGATTATATGACTACTTACTGTGCACATCTGTCTATCTCTATAGCTTTATCTGTAAATTTCTATCTGTCTGTCTGTATCTATATCTATTTTTTCTATCTATCTGTCTATTTCTATTTCAGTTTTTTTTTATCTGTGTCTATATATCTGTCTGTATATTAATCTATCAATAACTATCTTCCTATCTCTCTCTCTCTCTCTCTCTCTCTCTCTCTCTCTCTCTCTCTCTCTCTCTCTCTCTCTCTCTCTCTCTCTCTCTCTCTCTCTCTCTCTCTCTCTCTCTCTCTCTGTCTCTCTCTCTCTCTGTCTGTCTGTCTGTCTCTCTCTCTCTCTCTCTCTCTCTCTCTCTCTCTCTCTCTCTCTCTCTCTCTCTCTCTCTCTCTCTCTCTCTCTCTCTCTCTCTCTCTCTCTCGCTATATATATATATATATATATATATATATATATATATATATATATATATATATATATATATATCTATACATCCCCCTCTCCTCTCTCTCTCTCTCTCTCTTTCGCGCGCGCGCGCGCACGCGCTGTCGATCTATTTATCTATCTACCTATTTTCACAAAATGAAATGAAGCAGAATCTTTTGTGAGTCTGATTCAAAGCGTCATTGGTTTGGTGTTCCCCTTCTCATTGTGGTTGAATTTCATTGTATTTTTTCCTAAAGTTATTGTATTTTTGTTTGACATGTACATATGGACAGATAGAGTAAACGTAAATGACAGAAATAGTATAAACAATCGCTAAATTGAATTAAATGAAATGGCCAACGCACCTGTCATTTGAACAAAAATATTTTTCATTTTGATCATTGCCTTTCACTGTGAACATTTTATCAAACATTTTTATCAGTATACTATCAGGTTTCTATCGAATATGAGACATAGAGAATATCATGGAAATTTTATATACCCTGTAAATTCCCTGACATTTTTTTTCCATTTATGAAAGCTTTTGCTAAACAATTGTGAATTTGATTATATATTTTTAAAGAAATTCAAGCACTCTTAAAATATACATATATTCCCCCATAACAAAAACACATTTACACAACCTCCCAACAAACAATCACAACAACCCCTTTCCCCCAAACAAACAAACGAATAAAACCAACTCCCCCCCTCCACCCACCCACAAAAAAAAAAAAAAATCTCAAAAGACCAACCGCCTCACCCCCCCTCGCTCTCCCCCCCGCCAGGCCTCCATGAGTGGGCTGAGAATCCAAATGGCGCCGTCCATCCATCACCAAGCGGCCGCCATGTTGTCTATCCTGGTGAGGTACCAGTGGCACGCCTTCACCATCGTGACGTCACACATCGCCGGCCACGCTGACTTCGTCCAGACGGTCCGGGACCAGGTGCACCAGTACGAGGACCCGCATGACATCTCCAAGCCCAAGATCAAGTGAGTTTGTGTCTTGTCTCGTTCTTTCTGTTATTCGGGTGAATGACAATCGGTTAGTATTGTCGTTGTCTTGTGTCTATCTATCTATCTATCCGTGTATATATATATATACATATATATATATATATATATATATATATATATATATATATATATATATATATATATATATATATGTATATCTATCTATCTATCTATATATATATATGTATATATATATATATATATATATAATATATATATATATATATATATATATATATATATATATATATATATATATATATATATATATATATATATATATATATATAAGTGAATAAATAAATAAATAAATAGATAAATATATATATATGTATATATATATATATATATATATATATATATATATATATATATATATATATATATATATATATATATATATATATACATATGTTGTATATATAAATATATATATATGCATATATATATGTATATATATATGTATATATATATATATATATATATATATGTATATATATATATATATATATATATATATATATATATATATATATATATATATATATATATGTATATATATATGTATATATATATATATATATATATATATATATATATATATATATATATATATATATATATATATATATATATATATATATATATATAAATGAATAAATAAATGAATACATACATATATATATATATATATATATATATATATATGTATATATATATATATATATATATATATATATATATATATATATATATATATATATATATATAAATGAATAAATAAATGAATACATACATATATATATATATATATATATATATATATATATATATATATATATATATATATATATATATATATATATATATATATATATGTATATATATATATATATATATATATATATATATATATATATATATATATATATATATATATATATATATATATATATATATGTATATGTCAGGGGCGGGACGGCGCTAAATTTACCCAAGACTAAGGCGCAGAGAACCCGAAGAACGTTTCAGCCAAATTTGATTATATTCTTGGAAGTGTAATGTGTAGGCGTGCAAAATGTATATTTGCATTAAAAGGGACGATCGAGAGTGCATTTTCCTTTGTTAGAATGACTTCTTTTTCGGAACTCCTTCTAAAAGCATTTTGGAATTATGTGTGCTTTCGAATTTCAATATAAATTTTGTTAATCTTATATTCCACGGTATTTAGCTGAAACTTTATATACTGAGTGATTGTATAAAAGCTCTCATAAAAAAAGAAAGAAAGACAGAAAGAGAGAAAGAAAAACGAAATCTTATCATTCTAGAGAAAAATAAAGTAACAGCGTAGCCTAGGCCTTAGTGTATTTTAGGCCTATTAGTGATATATATCATTTAAAGACGTGGGGAAGAAAGTAGAGAATTTATGACCCTATATTTCCCACATGTTACGTCACACCCAGGGTAACATGAGGGTGTAACATGATATTAAAGAAAAATTAAGTGTTGGGTAAATTGATACCTTACTAGGAAAATTTAACGAATGAAATAACGGAGAGGAAGACGAATGGAAGATGAAGAGAGGAATGGCAACAGACGAGCAAAAGAATAAAACAAGAAAGGTGAAACAGAAGGAATGGAATAAAAAAAAAAAAAAAAAAAAACGAAAAGGAGAGATAACAGAAATAAATAATAATGATATGGTAATTTGGCAATGATAATAAATAAATGCCTTCCAAAAGATATATAACGGACGGATAAGATAATACGAAAATAATAAATATAATCACATATTTTCAGCTTTGCATCAAATTTCAGTATAGGGAAAGATGGACAAAGAAAAAAAACAAAACACTATAATTAATGAATCGAAGAAATCGTAATAAATCAGGCAGAATGTATAACGAGAAAAAAAGGGAGAAAATGCAATAAATCGTGTGTCAGTTGAATACATTCCTGCAAATGATTTATTTCGCTTTCTCTCTTTTCCTTCCTACGAATTCAAAATTAGTTTAGTTACTAAACAAATATGTCTTACATCTTATTTGAATAATGATAGACGAATGAGAAAGAGAGAGAGAGAGAGAGAGAGAGAGAGAGAGAGAGAGAGAGAGAGAGAGAGAGAGAGAGAGAGAGAGAGAGAGAGAGAGAGAGAGACAGAGACAGAGACAGAGAGAAAGAGAAAGTAAGAGAAAGAGAGGAAGGGAGAGAAAGAAAAAGAGGAAGAAAAGAAACAGAAAAAAGAAAAATCGTCCAGAAGTTCTGAAGTC